TTATATTTCACATCTATAGCAGTTGTATATATACATTATGTATGATTTATACATATAGTAGCTATAGCTATATGTTCTACATATAATTGCTATATATGGAATGGCTAATTTAGTAGTATAATAAGTACTAGATACTCTATTAAGTCCTCCTTCTATGGAAAAGATAGTAGGAATATTAGGACTAGTGTTAAGGAGAAGAGAGGGCATGTATTTCAATATTGGGCTGTGTCAGGTTGATTATTAATACATTGCATTATTAACACATTCAACAAACATATGTTGGTCACACATCATGCACAGAGACTGGGTATGTAAGTTTCTGTTCCTCGGTTTAGGAAATCTATCATCCACTGGGAGTGACAGATACTACAATATGTAACACTGATGTTTCACTCTACTAACATTAAAATATAACTAATTCCTCTGACATAGACATCCAGGTGAACTTGAAGTGGTGAATATGAGTTTAGAGCTTGGGTGGAAGTAGGCTAAATTATGAAGATTTAAACTTTATTAACATATCAGAGATATGATGCTGACATATTTGATATATAAGTGTGGTAAAAATGGTCAGGGAATTGAAAAGAATAACTATCATAGAGGAGCTGAGGGAAAACATTTAAAGAAGTGCAAAGCAAACATGATTCACCAGAAAACGGCAGAATAAGCATTCTGAAAAGAACAGAAAAGGATAAAGTAGATAAGAAAAATGTGGATTCACTTGACTGTAGGACGAAGATGGTTTCACTGGTGACCCAAGTATTCAGTGCAACTGATGGGTGAAGAGGATCTGAAAATTCACACTGAATTTGACCAAAAGCTAGTCATAGTTGAAGTTAGAAAACATAGCTTAATTTCAAGTGATTTGAAACCCGGTTCTACAATTTACAGGTTATGTAACCTTGAACAAGATAATTGGAACCATAGTTTTTGCCATCCTCCCTCATCTATTATGAGTGTAAGTGTGTGAGGTGTATGGGGAGGGTGGGGGGAGAGAGGTGACTGGTGCTCAGCTAAGTTTTAATGCATCTACCCTATTACATGTAGGCACTAAATTTGTTTTTTTTTGAATTCTGAAAGTTTCAGATCTGGAATTTTCTAGACTCATGCTAGGAGTATCCTCCTTAACGGATCTGTGGAGTTTGCATTCCTAGTTAGCAGTGAATGGTGGGAACCCCCTTGGGATTCCTGTTGCGTCTCTGTTGTCCTTCCGCATTGAAATTGTTGTTTTAGGCTTCTGTCATCCAGCGTTCTGCCTTTGATCTCATGTGCTTCATTTGGCTTCTCTAAGCTGACATGCAAGAAGTATATAATTTTTGGGATTCATCTGGCATGTGGAAATTGAAGCAGGGATATTCCAAGGGCTATCATTGGTGTTATTGTGGAAGACTCCGTTCTCTGAAGGGGAAAAAAAATAGTCCTCTGAATGAATGCTGAGAACTTGGTAGTGTAAAATTATTTGATATTTCAAAGGCCAAAATTAGGCTTAAGTATGACTTTTCCTGTCTCTCTTGGTACAGTTCTTGCCTTTGTCATTGGTTTCATATTGCAGTGAAGAAGATAATAGGAGAGATGTGTGTTAAAACGTAAAGAGAACTGAGAAATACTCAAACAATTAAAAAAAAGGATTTTGATGATAAATAAGTCCTGTTTATAGTGTATATTCCATTGCACTAAGTAAGAGATACTGACATATGGTTCATATTATAGTTCAGGCTAACCAGTATGAAAAATGCCAATAAAATTCCCCAGCATTCTGAGTGAAACTGGTCCTTACTGTCACTGGTATCCCATGGGTCATGGTTGTTTACAGACTGTATCTTAGCATTATAATAAAGATGACCCCTGCCCTCCATCACCCATGTGTATGATGAGCAGAGTGACAAAAGTGAACAAATAAAGGAGAACGGAGCTTCTTTTGTGAAGATAAGAATTTAAACATAACTAATGTGATATCCCCATGTGTCTCTCAAACTCTAACGTCAAAATTTTTGTCGATCTCCCCAACCCCTTGATTTCCTTGGGAAGGAAACAGGATCACTATATTTCAACTCTCCATTTCATTTTTCTTCTGTAATAGAGATACATCCTGAGTGATTTACTAGGTGCTTTTTCTCCTCTTTTTTCCTGGACTGTCTGACAGGTGAAGGAGAGAGTCTGTCAAGGCATAACATTCGAAAGGTCAGATTGAGATAGAGCAGAATTCATTCTTCTGACAAAGATATAACAAGACAAAATGGATTTTTAGTTGTCCCTAGCAGATATCTCTATAATGCAACATATTAGACATGTATAAAAGAGGTGTGGAAAAAGAAATCAGAGATATGGGTAGGAAACTTATAGCATAAGAATTATCACCCAGTTATGAAATTTAGGAAGAGATGAAACATGAAGCATATCTTTAAGGAAAATTATTATTATTTGCAATGTATTTTGTCTATGTTGACATAAAATACATGATTAGGGAAAAGGAAATATAATTTAAAGTATATGGATTGAAAAAAATAAAAAACTAGGCAAAAGGAAAGTGAGGATAAGAGTGGTTATGTGGGACCAATATATAGATTGCAGACTTTAGAATTTGAGCTTGGTCCAAATACCACTCCAAGTATTCTTCAGGTCATTGCAAAGATGGGCACATGGTCACTTATAAAATTCAAAAAATCCGTAACATAAAATTAAGCTATTCAAAAGAATCATAGCCATTTCTAATACTGGTATAAAATTTTCCTTCAAAGTTGAGTCGACAGTGAAGGGACATAGGTAATGTTACGAGCATCTTCCTTGGTCTGCAGATACAGTAGAGCAATACATTTTGTTAGAATATTCCATTAAACATCTCACATATCCAAATATATGATGCCATCTGACAGATGCAGCCTTGGTTTTGGATTTGAAGAGAAAAAGTTTCAGGTGTTTGTCTTGGAAAGGGTACTTTGATCTTTTTGAGTCTTTGCTTCTCATCTATTAAAATAAGAGAAAAGATAATTATATCTCCTGGTACATAGGTAGTCTCAGCTTATTCCAGTCCTATAGAATGTGCTGAGTAAAATTCAGTTTCTTTTCCCCTTTCATGAAGTTCTCTATAAAATTCTACTACACTATAGCATTGCAATCGCATGCTTCTATATTGTCAAAAATGATTTTTTATAACATATTTGTCTCAACAGAGTTACAATATTATTTGCATATATGAACTGCATTTTGAAGTGAATACCACCTCCTTCTGCATTTCCAACACTTAATCATGCTCAACTCTAGGATGGAGGCACCTTCTAAGGCCTTCTTACTTTTGTTCCATGCAAAGAGCTTGGCAACCATGGAAACAGTCCTGACTGCTCATTTTGTACATTTCTTCCCCAGTGTGTTAATCAGAAACAGCTACTTACTAGATAGCATCAGATACCCCATGTATACTCATTTTAAAAAGAAAACTACTCTAGCTTCTTTGTACTACCTTCACAATGATATTAAAGACAGAAAGGTAATAAAGCATGGTATATTTTACACTTTCAACCTTTCTCAGAGAAAAGGTACTGAAATTCAGGGAGACTGTTCAGAAATTCTAGCTGAAATGGTGGGTGTTTTGTTTATTTCATCCAGAAGTGCTATTTGCTGTGATTTCACATCCTGGGATCCAGCATTACTTTTCATTCCCTGGTAGGTGAATAAGGCAGTGGACTGTGTATAATAATACAGAAAGAGAAATTATTAGTATTGAGCAGAATGTAGGTATTACTGAATAGTTTTATCAGTTGAATATGGTTCATAGTAGGAAATAGTAGGAATAGTAGGAATCAAATATAGGGAAAAATATGAACAAAAGAAAAAAAAAACCTCTTGAAAGTAAGTGAAGCCAAATAGTGAACAATAGATTGTCCCCCTTTGATGTAGCCATATCCTATGTTTTGTGATAATAAGTTTTTTGTTTTATCAATATGTGCATTTAAATGAAGTATAGTTGATTTTTAAATGAAAAAATATACATATTTTTAAACAAATGATGAGTTTTGCCTGAGGTTGAACTTTATGTGAATGGAATTATACTGGTGTGTTGTTTTTGTGTCCATTTCTTTTGCTTAATTTTATGCTTTGGAAATTCGTTTATTTTTTTTTAGTAGTAGTTTGTTCCCCTTCATTATTGTTAAGCAGTCATTATGTGACTATATTACAATTGATTTATTTATTTTAGTGATAACTATTTGCGTGATTTCCAGGCTAGGGCTATTGTGAATAATACTGCTCTGAGCACTTTTGCACATGTGCAGGAATCATTCATTTCTTTAGGATACTCAATGAGGAGTTGAATTGCTAGGATATAACATATGTGAATCCTCAAGTTAACTACTTAATGTCAGATTATTTTCCAAAGTGATTTTCTGATTTGTACTCACAACAGCAATGTGCTGTTATTGCTTTATATTACTTTATATACTTGCTTTATATACTCACTGATAATATTATGAGAAAATTAACATTATTTGGGGGAAGTGGGGTCCACATGAGTGTTCAGCTGGAATCTCCAAGGAGTGGGCCATATACATACAATACTTTAAAACTCTTTTGAGATCTATTAATCACATCTATTCAGATAAAATCTAAAATCATAATTTGTAGCCTAAAATTGTAACACCTGCTTCCACCTGTCAATGGAAAAAAAAATCTGTATATTTTAAAACTATATTTGTTTAGTGTTTCTGAAGTATATCAGGAAGTATTTAACATATACGTTTAAAGAAAATGAAAATCCCATTTTTTTCTAGAGGAGGGAAGTGTATGGACCCTTTGCAGAATATTTATCCATTAAATATTTTACAATCAAATTGTTGAATGTGAAACTTGCAATTCAATTTGTAATAAAAACTGAGGAGAAAATCAGGGTTATTTCCACTTTATTTTATAAAGCAATAAATATAGTAACAATGAATAACAGAAATGTGTAAAATTTAAAATCCACAAATTGTATTTTTTACTGACCATATTTTCTGTCTTGGCCTCAGGAACAGGGCAGATATAATGAGGAAGAAAATTCGCTAATGTGTTTTGCTGAATTCATGCCTGGACGCTTGCGCTCCCAGACACCAACCCCACATTGATTAGCTAAACTTTGCCGGTAGCAGAGCATGGCTGACTGCTGCTGTTCTGCCTTTTTTCACAGCATCTGCTGGCAGACTGCACAACAAGTCTGATTATTTTCCTTTTGTTATTTTGTTTTCTGTGAGGTCAGCAAAATCATCCTGTTGTCACAGTCTCTATTGGAACTCCAGGATACAAAATAGTGAAATAAACTTCTTTGAACAAGAGGGCTGTGCTGTTTGGGGTACCATTAATTTTTTCATTGGCTTGTTGATTTACTGTATTCTAAGGGAAAGTACTGTATAGGCAACTACAATTTGAAAGCAAGCCTTTTATCCATTGGGGAGACGAGAGTACACTTACACACCTTCACATAGCACTTCCTGGGCTCAGAAAATTCAGGGGAAAACTTACAGATTCATATTTTGCTGTCTTTAGCACCTAGAGTTCCCAATGAAGAAACAAGTGGGTGGCCAGAATTGTGGGTGTGCTGAATAGGACTGCAAAATTTTATTTTTTTGATCAGACACACAGCCTTTCACTTGGGGCTTCCTGAAATAGAATAAGACTCTCTGATCCCCTGCATTTGTGAGTGCCTTCCCTTCCCTTCACACTTTAGCCCAGTCTAAGATCCATAAAGATCAATAAAATCCAACCAACTCATTGGAAAAGTCTCTGATGCTGGGAAAGATCAAGGGCAGAAGGAGAAGAGGGCATCAGAGGATGAGATGGCTGGATGGCATCACTGACGCAATGGACATAAACTTGGGCAAACTTTGGGAGATGGTGAGGGACAGAGAGGCCTGGCATGCTTCAGTCCAGGGGGTTGTAAAGAGTCTTTATAACAAGTATTTCTTTTTTCCTAAAGTACAGAAGCAGGTTGACTTTTGAAACCAGGATCTTTTAAAATCACTTTCAACAACTTTGTATTGAATAAGATGAGGAACATGCAAGGATAGTCATTCACATCAGTTTAAATATTAAATATATATTAACTTTAAAAATTAGTTCTCTTCATATAATGAGGTTAGTTTTGTCTCTTTTACTTCTTACAACTTCCACTCCCAACAAGCAGCTCAGAGACCAATGAATGATGATTTTCTACAAACCATGTTCAGTTAAATATAGAAAATGAATAAGCAGAGAATATTTAGCCTGGAAAGCATCTACTTTCATACCAATATTCACTCAACATTTCAAAATCTGTATTTTTAGAGCCTACTACTATATTATAGAGTAAATGTCTAGGCTTGCCCTTAAGATGAGGTGTAGGATCAAACGTTAGGATTTATAAAGAGAAATATTGTGACTCAATGTAAAAAAGAAATATTTAGTGTTAGAAATAGAACCATATGTAAAGATCTCCCCATTTTCTAAAACTAGTATGAAAACTAACTATCAACACTTTAGCTCAGTTCAGTCACTTAGTCGTGTCCGACTCTTTGCAAGACCATGGACTGCAGCATGCCAGGCCTCCCTGTCCATCACCCGCTCCCAGAGCTTACTCAGACTCATGTCCATTGAGTTGGTGATGTCATCCATCTCATCTGCTGTCGCCCCCTTCTCCTCCTGCCTTTACTCTTTCTCAGTATCAGGATCTTTTCCAGTGAGTCAGTTCTTAGTATCAGGTGGCCAAAGTATTGGAGCTTCAGCATCAGTCATTCCAATGAATATTCAGGACTGATTTCCTTTAGGATGGACTGGTTGGATCTCCTTGCAGTCCAAGGGACTCTCAAGAGTCTTCTCCAACACCACAGTTCAAATCCTCAGTTCTCTGGTGCTCAGCTTTCTTTAGAGTCCAACTCTCACATCCATACGTGACTACTGGAAAAACCATAGCTTTGACTAGACAGACCTTTGTTGGCAAAGTAATATCTCTGTTTTTTAATACACTGTATAGGTTGATCATCTTTTCTTCCAAGGAGCACACACCTTTTAATTTCATGGCTCCAGTCAGCATTTGCAATGATTTTGAGGCCCAAGGGTGGTGTCATCTACATATCTGAGGTAATTGATATTTCTTCCAGCCATCTTGATTCTGTCCTCTCTTCAGAGAAACTCTTTATTTCAAAAGAGGATTCTCTTCTCACTTATCTTTCCCTTTTTTGGTATTATATCATTTACTAGGTTTGTATTATATGTATTTTTTAGCTTGTTTGTTTAAAGTACATCAGACTTCACAAGGATAAGAGTTCTGTGTTCTTTTCACCTATATTCCCAGTGACCTTCACATTTAATAAATATTTGCCAGATAAATAGCACTACAAGATCATGACTGTTAACAGAAGCTGAAGAGGCAAAGGGAAGATAGTGTCTGTATTGGTGTTTCTAGAAGTTTCTCCCAGAAGAAGTGATATATATGCTGAATATTACATGATAATAATAAATAGGAATTGCCCAAGTGAAAGTGGCTGAGCAAGAATAATTTACTAGGTTTCTTCCTGATATTAGGGATTACAGAAGGTCCATGAGACCTGATGAAGGAGAAGTTAATGAGAAGAAGGAGGGTATAAAAAATGACCTAGAAGTCTTACCATCAGAATTTATCCAACTGCTGATCCTTTGGAAAGCAGTCTTGGAGATGCAGGGTGTGAATTTGACAGAGTTAGTTGTTTCTGTTTGCGCAGACTGCCGAGTGCCAGGTGAAAGGTACTGCATGAAAGCGGCATACACAGGCCGAGGCCAGAGCTTGATTCTGCTATCTTACTGCCAGAGACATTGATTTTACTCTCTCTGAATAAAAAGTTACCCTTTGCTTGGAGCAAAGTGCTTAATACATAGTTATTTCTATTGTGTGTGTGCTAAGTCGATTTACTCATGTCCAACTGTCGGGACTCTATGGACTGTAGCCCTCCAGGCTCCTCTGTTCATGGGATTCTTCAGGAAGAATACTGGAATGGGTTGCCATTTCCTCCTCCAGGAGATCTTCCAACCCAGGAATGGAACTGAACCTGCGCCTCCTTTGGCTCCTGCAATGCAGGCAAATTCTTCACCCTTGAGCCATGGGGGAAGCCCAGTAATTTCTATTAGCCTTCTATTACTCATTTTTAGTTACCCCTCTACAAAAACAGCATAGATAAACTTCTTTAAGAAAATATACTCATTCTTTTAAAAAAAAATCTTGTAAGAAATGAAACATGCAAAAAATGAATTTGCCATATCCAACTGCAACATTGCTAGAGAAAGCAACTGAGTGGAATCTGGATAAAAGAAAGTGAAGATAAGTCAGCGTGCATGCATGCATGTGTTCTCAGTCTCTTCAATCCTTTCTGAGTCTTTGCAACTCTATGAACTGTAGCCCACCAGTCTCCTCCGTCCATGGGATTCTCCAGGCAAGAATACTGCACAGTATTCTGTTACTTATTTTGCTTTCCATAAATCATTATATTGAAGACGGCAAAAAGGAATCTTTTTTTTAAAGCCTTGGTTCTCCTTTTTATCCTCCTCTTCTCTAGAATGTCTAGAATTGAACTTCAAATTTGCATTACAAAATCTGTAATTGGAAGTCTAAGTTGTAAATATGAGATGCTTTCCATTTTAATTTTCATGAAAATAAAGAATCAATCTGTGGACATAAAGTCTATGGAGTTTTCTGAAAATGTATACGTGATAATTTAGGCTTATAAAACTTTTGTACTTAGTTTGTAAGATACACAAAAAGGAAAATCAAACATTTTAAACAGATTTTTAAAAGAAGTTGTAGGCACAGTCCCTATTGATTCATGGACTGTTCTGAGAGGAACATGAAACATTGTGAAACCCCATTACTTTAGTTGACAGAAGACCTTGGGGCTCAGTAAGGTGAAGTAAGTTTGAGTGGATGGGGTTGAAGTGAGGGATTTGGGGTAAAACTCAGGGTTCTAGTACATGTTGACCTCATAGGCTATATCCACTAGTATAACCTGGAGAAAGTGCCAGTGCAAATTGCTTTGCTAAGTGATTCTTAAGAGTCTAGACTTTTTATCCGATGATCTTCTCTATGTCATTCAAAATTTTTTTATTGAATTATAATTGCTTTACAATATGTTCGTTTCCACTGTACAGCAAAGTGAATCAGCTCTATGTATACATACATCCCCCCTTTTTTGGATTTCCTTCCTGTTTAGGTCACCACAGGGCATTGTGTAGAGTTCTCTGTGCTACTCAGTAAGTTCTCATTAGTTATATATTTTATACAAAGTATCACTAGTGTATCTATGTCAGTCCCAGTCTCCCAACTTATCTCATCTCTGCCTTTCCCCCTTGGTGTCCATATATTTGTTCTCTATGTTTGTGTCCTTATCTCTGCTTTGTAAATAATTCATCTATATAAGTTTTTTTTCAGATTCCACACAGTATGTGTTATTATATGATATTTGTTTTTCTCTTTCTGACTTCACTCTATATGCCAGTCTCTAGGTCCATCCACATCTCTACAAATTACCCAATTTCATTCATTTTTGCATAAAATAGTAAAATTAACTATTTCTTATAGGGCTATTTTGAGAATTAAATGATGTAATGTAGATAAGGGCTTCCCTTGTAGCTCAGTCGGTAAAGAATCTGCCTGCAGTGCAGGAGACCAGGGTTTGATCCCTGGGTTGGGAAGATCCCCTGGAGAAGGAAATGGCAACCCATTCCGGCATCCTTGGCTGGAAAATCTCATGGACAGTGGAGCGTGGTGGGCTGCAGTCCATGGGGTCGCAAAGAGTCAGGCACGACTGAGCAACTAACACTTGCTTACTTACACTTACTTAATGTAGATAAAGTCTTCATCCTACAGCATGGCAAGATGGTAAGAGATCAGGATGGCATGTGTTATTTAAAAAAGTGATAGAATTTTCTGTGTTGACCTTCAACGTCACTACATGAATCAAAATAACTTAAATGGTGTTTTATAGTTAACAAAGCTACTATATGTATATATTATATATACTGATGCTTCCTAGTTCAAAAGAATATTCAAGTAAACTACCAGAAAATTAATTAATCCCTGACTAAGGGAGGGAATTACAGAACAAGAATGTGAATACCTTGGAGGTTTTGATCAAGTTTCTCAGTGATTGGGAAGAATATGGAATAGATGATTAGATAAGCAAAATGGTAAGGCTCAGGAGATTTTTCTAATTCTCTTATAATTTCAGAATAAATGACCGAATGGCTTTGTTGAGGATTTTTAAGAACACCCAACACGTTGATGTTCGAGTAGAATTTCAGAAGCATTTTCCTCTTTACTATTCACAATAAA